TTATCACCGAATCATTCATTCAATTGATTCGTCCGAACTGCTGATTAATTCAGGAATGAAGCAAGTGACTTTCTTTATGAATGGGTAATCCTGAATCACTGACTCACTAGATTCGTTCAAAAAGGCACTTTCATTGAATGAATGAAACTCAGCTGTGTTTGCTTATAGAGATGCGAAGTAGCTGAGCTGTTACTATATTTGGAACTATTTTCGTTACAAAAATAGAGCAAAATCAGGCAGTACTTGTTTACTGAACTGTTGTATTGAATCAATATCACATTGGCGTCACTATGTTGTCACTGAGAAGCTGCAGGAGTGGCCGGGAATTATTATTTTTTTGTGCCGGCAGAACAACAATAACAACAACAATGCGCTACATGTTTCTTTTCCCCTCATTTTTTTCCCCAATTGACAGAAATCAGTCGTAGCAACGGAAAACTTTAATCCCTGCATAAACAAAATTGATTTCAAATTTAATTCAAGCACTTTCAAGGACCTATGTTTGTTTTCAAGTACTTTCCAGGCCTTGAATCCATATGTCTGAAATTCAAGTACTTTCAAGAAGCGTGGGAACCCTGACAATGATTAAAGTGTTTATATTAAGCATAAATAATACTGCAATGTGTTTCCTTAATATAAAGTACTTTATTTTTTGTGAGTACACAAAAAAACAAAGTACAAAAATATCAATATTGCAATACTGACAAAATATGAATATTACCTTATAGTTCTCAATACCCTCTTCAGCTCTGTAAATCAAAGATATGTAAAAATAAAGATTAGATGAAACATTTACAGATTACATATTTTGTGTAATAAATCAAATAATTTATAAATAATAGGCGGGCTTTTACAATTGTGCAAAATCACATGGCAAGTGGTTCTCAGGAGGGGCTTTGAATACTGTGTTGGAGAATGGGAGGCCTTTCAATGAAAAACGTTGAAAATCACTGCTTTAAAGAGTCTTTTGATTTTTGACTGTTTAGCTCCATCTAGTGATGATACACAAAATAACCTGTCTGGCATTCAGAAAACTTAAAGGGGTCATATGATGCGATTTCAAGTTTTCCTTTCTCTTTGGAGTATTACAAGCTGATTGTGCATAGATAAGATCCCTGAAGTTGCAAAGACTAAAGTCTCAAAACCAAAGAGATATTCTTTATCAAAGTTAAGACTCTGCCACGCCCCCCTAAAACGGCTCATTCTAACACGCTTTGTGTGAGCGAGAGAGAGAGACAGGGTCACTCACAGTGGAGTCAGCTGTCTTAACCGTGGCTTGTGTACTGCAAACATATACCAGCTTCATCACTGTCTGTCACGTGACTCTGTTCCCCTTTCGGGCTCTGTCTTTACATTTATTTTGAAAGATGAAGCTCGCGATTATGGTAAGGGGCGTTACATTTCCGACGAGTGCTTGCGGTGTTCGGCCAATCACAATGCACTGGGTCAGCTGGCCAATCAGAGCAGACTGCGCTTGTCGGAAGGAGGGACTTTGTAGAAAACGACGCGTTTGAGAGAGGCGGGGCATAGAGGACCTACAATAATGTACAGTATTTGAAAAATAATGTGTTTTTTGAACATTAAAGCATGTCAACATATTCTATTACACCAAATACACAAAATAATGATCTTTAAAAAAGCATCATATGACCCCTTTAAATTCAACATAAAATCAAAATTGACCCTATTTACTTAATGCATGTTGTGGGCCTTTCTGAATGATTCATGGTGCGTGTTATTGCAAAAATGAAACCCGTCTTTGCTTTTTTTTTTATATCAAAAGTCATTACATTTACATAAAGTCAGCTGAAAGCTCTAGAAACTGAATGACATCAGTGATATACGCAGAATCACAAATGAACATTACTGACCCCACAAACTCCAACATCAGAGACACATCTAGCTCTGAGGGAATGGTAAAAACAGACTGAGGCAGCATGTCTTTCTTCTGTCTCTGAGGCAGCTTCACTGGGTATGTAGCTGGAGACGCCACTGGGGGGAAAAAAGAAAGAAAAAAGATTGCATCATAAGCACAATAGAATAATATTTCTCAGCATCACCTATGTACTAAAACGCATATATATTCAAAGAATAAACTTCAGTGGAATGATTGCATGAACAAACCTGGCTTAGGAACGTCAAGCCCTCTCCGTTTATAAAATGCATATATTCGCGACCTTTCATCTGAAGCAGAAAAAACAACATATTGTGTGTTGTTTATGTTTCTCACATATATTTCAAATGACAGAATGGGACAACAAAAGTGTAACAAGAAAGAGTTCAACATAAACTCCACTTACCTTCTTCTAAATATGGAACCATCTTGAAAACAATGTCTTGTAATTGTCTGTCAGGTCTAATAGAGAAAAAGGGATGAAATTTGACTCCCATGCTAAAACATGACCAGTAATTAAACACTAAAGCATACAAGAATCCCTAAAGACCCCGGGACATATGTGAGGCTGTTATTGCTAGGCAGCAGTAATTAGACACAAGGGATGGTCTCGAACATAACAGCTAGACTAAATCTCTAGTGACAGACCAAAAGCGGTAAACAACACTACACCCTATACGCCCAGTTTGCTAAAGTTGAAATTGACAAAAACAGTATTAATAAAAAAAGACTTCAATAAAACTAAAGTTACCTGATACTGTACATTGGCTGTGTCTGGTGCACAACAATGGAGCAGTTAGGACACCTGTTGCTGTAGAAAAAGTGCTTGACAATGCAGCTCTTACAAACTGTGAAAGGGGAAATAAACAGGCATGATTCAAAACACTGTAAAGATCACAGATTATATGAAAATATGAAAAGAAAAATTCAATTTATACCACTACACCGGTGGGAAATACAGACTTACAAGTGTGAAGACACTCTGTGATGGTGGTGGCATCAATGAAAAATCCATTGCAGGATCCACGTTTTTAAACATAAGTGTATACAATATACATATACAATATACTACATTAATACATAATTATTAATTTTACCTCATATTCCTCATTTAAACGCTCATATACAACTTACAAATAAGTAAGTTTAAGTATATAAGTACTAGTATTAATATACGTATATTTTATTTACATATAAAACATACACAAACATATTTATTAGGTGATTAATTCTTATATGCGATAAAACAACTTTTATAGCCTACAAGCGCAAGTAATTTTGAAATAAAAACTCGACTAATTTGCTTATTTAGTGTTGTACCTCGTCGTCAGGATGTTGTTCATGAGTTCTCTGGCTGTGGTCGGTGTCACGGCTCTCATCCCCTCCGCTCAGGGAAGCGTCTGTCCGAAAGAACCCACGCGTGGATCCCTCCTCCACAACTCTGTCCACAGTTCCGTCCATAGTGCACGCAAAGACTGAAGCCCTTAAAACAACTGCAAGAGAACAACTACGATTAACTGTCTGCTCTCTCTGGATTGGTTGGACGACTTCATTCACGATGAATAACAAAGAGTTAATTTTAAGTACAAGTTTAGAAACACTTCAATCTACTTGTGCACCTTCACGGTGTGCGCGAAATACTCCAGTGACTCAGTGTAATGAGGATAGAATAAAAGTCCCCAAAGGAACGAATAAATTAATGGCTAAAAAATAAATATAAAAACGTATAAATATGTATGTATGTATGTATATTAGTAGTTCTATCGATCTACTTGACTCATCCAGAACCACAGAGATCCAGGGGCATCTGATTTAACTTACTTATCACATACTTATTAGACGGTTAATTGCACTGCACCAACACACAATATTTTGGAAAAAAAGATATTTTTCGTAATAGTAAAAATAGGAGCCGTTGAAAACCTAAAAGCGTTGTTTTAACGGCTCTGGTGAAAAAAAAGTCGACATATTCGCCTTTTTGAGCAGTTTAAGAGGTTTATCAATAAGTTGAAATACTGAACGCCAAAGCAAAGCCTTCATTAAAACTTATATTAAATAGTTGGCTATTTTTTCTATTATTTAATGTTATGTTTTTGTCTTATATTTGGTGTGTGTATTGTTTTGCTAAATAAAGCATGACAATAGTGAAATTCTTTTCGAATGGAGTTTCTTTCTGAATGGAAGTTTTCTACCCTCTACCGGCGCAAGAGAAAAATGACACGACAACAAAGATGGCGGCGCCTATGAGCAACGTGGATGAAATTCGCGATAGAGTAATATTGGGTGAATTTGGCGTAAAAAATGTAAGTTATGCCCTCTAAGGCATATTTATATAATATTCACTGTGTTTATGTCGACATAGGCTGTTTCATTGTTAATTTAAGTAACCCTTTTTAATAATATAACGTTGCACATGTCATGCAGGTTTCTCCGTACTTCAAACTGCAGTGATTGTTGTTTATTAGATTTATATGATCACTTTTATTATTGTTTATTAGAGGGTATTCCGGTAAGCTACATATAAAACCACTATTTACTGTATATACAGGTCCATACTACAGATTATCCAGGAAATTACCCTGGTTACGATGACACATGGGACTTGGAAAAATTCAAAAAGGTGTGAGAAATGTACAGGCAGTCATTTATTATAATGAATATAGTCGCTGCTAAGTCGGGCGTTTTATACCTGATTAACTTGTATAATTTTAATTTCAGGATCGACATAGTTCATTCGGATGAGAACACGTTGGAGTTTGATATGAGTGGAACAGACGCTGCCATCGCCAATGCTTTTCGCCGTATATTACTGGCTGAGGTACTGTATTTTGATTACTTTTGTCCATAGTGTCAGCTTGTATACATGTTATATTACCATCATCATGAGCTGCTTTTGAAACAGGATCTGACAGTCATCATGATCTTTGAACTAGTTTTTTTCGCCCTCATCTCATTTGAAAATAGGTCCCAACAATGGCCATTGAAAAAGTTTTCATTTACAACAACACATCGATCATTCAGGATGAGATTCTGGCTCTTAGGCTTGGACTTGTGCCCATTAAAGCAGATCCTCGTCTTTTTGAGTACAGGAATCCGGGTAAATACATTCTGGACCCACATAAAAACTTGTTTTACTTTAAAACGACAGTTAAGTAGATAATGTATTTGTCTTGAAGAAAGTAATTTTTGTAATGATGACACAAATGCTAACACTGACTCAAGTTGTGAAAGACTGTTGGGTCATTCCATGTCAACTCAACCAGAGATGCCCTGCTCAAATTTTTGATTTTGCTAATATTTTTTCTGAAGAAAGATAAACGGGTATACTGATGAAAGCCAAACTATTAAATGTCATGGATGAATATTTACTAAGTAATCCACTATTTTGTAGAGGGGGGTCAAAATGGCAATTTTCACCTGAGATTTTCACCTGAGGGGGTTAAAAATGACTTCAGAAAGATGGTAGCCTCATAATGTTATTTTTACAGAGATTGGTAAATCTGTTAGTAAAATCTGTTGACTTTAGCAATCTTTGTGGATTACTCAGTAAATATTAATCCATGACAATTAATATTTTGGCTATCATCATTATAAATGTTTATCTTTCTTCAGAAAAACTATTAGCAAAATCAAAAATTTGATCCGGGGAAGTTTTCGAACTTTGGTTGATTTGACACGGAATGACCCTGTTGATTATTCTTTGTTTTCACAATGTAAATGATAATATGTGTTGTGTTTGTCAGAGGATCAAGAAGGCACTGAAATTGACACAATTCAACTTCAGCTGAAGGTAAAATGCACCAGGAATCCTAGAGCCCCTAAAGACTCTTCAGATCCCAAGGAGTTATATCTCAATCACATGGGTGAGTAAAAATATGGTTTACTTAATTTAATTAAGCTTTTTTTAGATGCAAAAATTTGACATTTTATTTCCCCCCCCTTAAGTTTACTTTATAATTGTCGCTTAGCTTTTTTGATGATCAATTATCCACCCTCTCTCTGATCCTTAGAAGAATATTTTTAGCTGCTGTGCCTTAGGAAAGTTATTTAAATGTTTTTAAAAAGCTCCAGGTTTGATGCGCTTGTTTGTACGGCTGCACAATTTGGCCAAAAAACCCCCAATATTTATGACTATCAAATAATGAAAAATAATAATTATTAATAAATAATTAATAAGTAATAATAATAATAATTTTATTTTACAGTACAACTATTTAATTTTTAATTAATTAATTAAATTTTTATTAAAACAGTACAACTTTTATTCTACAGTACAGTTTATATCTTAATTTCTTTATTTTCAAACGTTAAACTATTGTACAAAAAAAAAAAAAACACACACAAAAAACACAGGGAGCCCTTAAAACTTCTCTTTGGTGACAACAACCTGTTTATAACTGCTTCTCATTACAAGTTTGGGAAGTTGGTTGGCCTATATTGTGTTCCCAAATGTTATAAGAGACCCAAACTCAGAACTCGAATGCCGGATCAGGAGCTGCTTGCGTGTAAATGAACACAGTGCTGCACTTCTCTCTGAAACACACAGCACATGTATTTATTGAATTAAATCACAGCTTTTGCAGTTTGATAAACACACTAAACCATATCATGATTTAATCGGTTTTGTTTAGATTATTTGTGCAGCCCTATGTGCAACACAAAAGATGTAAGGCAGAATGAAAGTTTCAGTCACCATTCACTTTCCTTGTGTGGAAAAAAGATGCAATGAAAATAAAAGGTAAGGTGACTTAGACTGCCTAACATCTGCCTAGCTAATTTTGTGTTCCAAGGAAAAAAGTACAAGTTTGGAACAAAGTGAGAGTGTGTAAATAACTGCAGAATTTACATGCATATTATTTGCTAACCATGACAAAACTTTTTGTTTATCACTGTCCTGTTTACAGTATGTCACTAAACTCTTGTGTTTGGTTTCAGTCTACTCGGGTGACATAAAATGGCTCCCAATTGGAAACCAGGCCGATGTGTTTGCAGATGCCAAGATTGGTCCTGTGCATGGGGACATTCTCCTGGCACAACTTCGACCAGGGCAGGAACTTGATATAGTCATGCACTGTGTCAAAGGAATAGGTAAGTAATATAAGAGGCTCCAGACCAATTTCATTTCCATTGAAGCATATGTATTTTTCTTTAATTCAGGTTTAGTTATCATATAACTCCAACATCCAGTCCCCAGTTTCCCTTATATTTATAAACTTTCTTTGCACCTCACAGGCAAGGATCATGCCAAGTTTTCTCCTGTGGCCACTGCAAGCTACAGACTTCTTCCTGAAATCACATTATTACAGACCATTGAGGAGAACAAGCAGAGAGGTTAAAGCGCTGCTTCTCACCAGGAGTTATTGAGATACAGAACGTGAACGGTAGGACTGTTTCGCTTTATTCACATGTAGTCTTGATATTTGGTACTTTTGTTGTTGTGTTATAATCTAATAATTATAAATTTCAGGAAGGAAGGTGGCTAAAATTGTCGACAGTCGTTTAGACACATGCAGCAGAGAAGTTCTCCGGCATGATGACTTGAAGAACTTGGTGAAACTGGGCAGAGTGCGGGATTATTTCATATGTACGTTTACAACTAAAAGCATTGAGTTGGGTTTGTTTGATGATTTGCCATATGCATTGTCAAATCTTCCTTCTGTGTTGATTTTTTTAGTCTCAGTTGAGTCCACGGGGATCCTTCCTCCTGATGTCCTGGTTACTGAGGCCATTAATGTCCTCATCTCTAAGGGCCAGAAATTTCTCACAGAGCTTGATACGGCAGAAATGGACTAGATGGAAGAAAATAAGGCCAGTCACACTCATCCCGTAGCTTTGAATGAAGTCATGTGATTGGTTTACTGACACTGTGTGCATAGCTTTTAAAGCTTTAGCTAAAAAAACTCACTTCACAAGTGAATTCATCCAAATTCCAGTGAGCAGTCCGTTATTTAACTTCAGGCCTTAACTTAACAGCATTCTGGAAAATGTTTGACATTCATGTTTATTTAAACAAAAATGTATTCCTAAATGA